GTGAAATACTCCCTGCCCCAACACAACTGCTTTGCTTCCTGTGAGACATCTATCTGAATATGGCAAGTTTGGCAGATTGTTAGATGGAAGATTTGAATCCAAATCCTCCATTGCCTGTATTTTTTATATATATTTGGCAGGATACAGTAAGAAAAACAAAAAAAAAAAAGTATGAAACAGGTCACTTACCAATTTTTTCAAATGTCTAAAAAATTTTGGCAGTGTGAATCTCTTTCAGTACAGGACAGACCATTATTTTGATATACCTTGTCCACTCTGCACAAGATATGGGTGAATTCAGCCTCTTTAATGTATCAAAGTTTTTCAAGCCTGCCTCCACAGTCTCAGCAGTAAATTCCTTTGCCATTGGAACATTTTGAGTATCCTGCAAATACCACCTCAAGTCAAAGTAAGGGTCTTCTTTAGTTTTTGCTCATTCCTCCCAAGCCTTCTTTTGAAGCTCACTGCCAAAGCCATAGGTTGAAATCGCTACAACAAAACACTTGTATGTATGAGTCAAATCATATATAAAACAAAGATCCAATGATTCACAGAATGGATTCTTCTCAGGGCAATAAAAGTAATTGATGAAGTCCACCTTCATTGAAATGTTGTGCCAAACTAAAAATGAAGGCAAAATATGAACTCCATTGATAAAGTTCTGGCACAGATGGTGATGATAATACAAAAAAAAATGCCACAGAAATCACTTGATCGGTCTAAAGAACATTATTATTGCAATAGTGAAAATCAAAGTGGAAAAATCTCAGTATGCAAAATCAGCAAAAAAATCTTTGAAAATTCAATGTGCAATTTTTCAGCGACAACTTGTGAGATAATTGAAAGAAAATGGGATTTATAAGTGGTAAATAAAACTGAATCACAATTTTGTTTAAGAATTTCCTAAACAGATGATACTAAAGTGGGTGCAGTTAACCAATTATTTGGATGTGTAATATTTATCAGTGAAACAGTGACAACAAACTCTTTGAATTTTGTTTTTAGATCTGAATGTGTTATTGCTTTTGTTTTAGCACTTGAGTATGATTGATAATGCTTGTGACAAAATTTGCAGAGTTACAGTAAACCAGTGATGCATTAGTAGCCTGTTTCCAACCATAATTGATGAAAGCAGATCTAAACAATCTTGAGTAATCCAGCTTAAATATAAGTTATTCTCTGCCAACTCCTCCATTTTTATCATGTAAATTTCATGAGCAGTGGAATCAGATGTGGTATTGATAAGACTGTAAAATGTCAGTTTGCATCAGCCGGAGAGAATCAGGAACAGTAAGCAGAGATAAATGTGTTGCTCTAACAGCTGCAGCAACACTCATTTTCACCAGAAGATCATCTGTGTCTTTGAGGAGTTTGATTAAATTGTTGGAATTATCAAGGCAAACAATCTCAGATTTCTTGAGTTCATCTTTCTTTGAAAATAAGTTATCTTCATCTCCATGCAGTGTACCAAGAAAGTGATTAGAATGCATCTTCAAAGTGTAGTATGAATTACACAAATAGTTGTAGTTTTCAATATATGCTTGAAGAACATTAATTGAAAGTTGTGCATTTCCATGAATACAGAGTGTGGCTCTGAAAAAGTAATGATTCTTTTAGAAGTAGTAAATTTTTTATACAGAAATTACCACCAGTATCCTCATTTTTATCCATCTTATTTGCTTGTTTCTTTTTCATGGCAGTCACTTGATTTTTGCCTGCAAGACAGCTTAAATGATCATGTAAGCTGTCCATATAACCAAAAGATTTTGAAAGCCACTGGTAAATGATCAAGGGAAAACCATTATAAAACATCAAAGAGGCTTTAGATGATTTCAGATTATCAATAAGCTCATTTGTTTGAGTGAGACTGTTATTCAGCAATCCAACAAGCTGTTTTTAGTTGTTAAAAATATTGTACAAGGAGAAAGTTGAATATAAAATGAAAAGAAAAGTAAAAAAAAACAAAATAGCAACAAAAAATAACAAAATAAAAGATAGTAAAAGTAAATTACACTTGCCTCAACTTTTGAACATGTAATTTTTTCTATGGGCCATTTATCATATTGCTCTTTCAAGTCACCATAATAATTTGTCCAACCCATTCCGCGGAAATACCTTTAATTTTTTTTTTTTCGATCACACAATAATACGTCATTTCGCATCTTTTATCTGCCATTTGTGAACTTTGGACACTTATGCAACAAAGCGGTTCGCAACACCGGTTCAAGTCACTACGAAAGCAAAGTCCACGCCAGCATTAGTCGCAGCAAAACAAACGAACGCGAAACAGACGAGCACAAAAGGCAATCAAATACGGCGAAATTGGAGTAGGCGCTTTATTATTTGATAACCGTTGTTGAAAGTGGAACGAAAACGTCGTGTATTATCGCGTGTTTGTGTGTGGAGGATTGAATTTGATTGTTGAAGCTTCCGATAGTTTACAAGTTGAGACCAATCGCTACTGCCAAAATAGCTGATACATCACTGCAAATCAAGTATGGTCGAATGAGGGATTAAAAAATTATTAATGTGGAAAACAAATTTCATTCATTATTTCACCACAATTGTTGTCACGGGTTCAAACTGGAAAAATGAAAAAAAAAGTATATTCCTGGGTCATTTCAGGAATCTAGTCCGAAACAAAAATTTTGATTGAAAAAAAACTAATTCCTAAAACAGGAGATCTTGCAAGTATTCAAACGCATCAACAAAAACATATTCTATTCCTGGCAGGTTCTTCGATTGCGATCGATTGTCTTCCATAGAATTTAACGAATGTGTCGCAAACGCCATTGTAACCACAAATGAACTTGGGGTATCAACAAAATCAAAAGAATTTTCCACGGTTTGTCCATATAAAAGCAGATCTGGTTGAATTAACTGCCAACAATTGCTAAGACTTTCTTCAATTAACTGTTGGCTCATGGAAGTATCATTTAGATAGCTTGACGTAAATATTGGATACGGATCTATATATGATAAGTATGAATGAGAATGAAGAAAAGAATTCTTTTGATTTCAAAGTATTAAAATTTTTATCTTTATACCAAATTCTTCGGAAACAGGTAAAAAAGCTGTCGGAACAAACGGCGAATTTTCACGAGTTTGACCAAGAAAAAAAGACGAATTTCTGATTTGCGGGGTATGCATTAGCATCAAGGGTGGAGTCGGTGAACTGGATAAATTTCTAGATAGAGATCGCTGATTAATCGGCGTTTGCTGCTGAAGATTTCTCAAAGCATTATCTTGCCCAGACGGTGAGGCGAAACCAAGTTTATTTTTTACTCATCAATTTATTTAGTTTTAGTTTTTTTGTCAATGGCTCACCTTTTTTTGCGAAGCACACGGGTTTATCTAATGCTTGAATATCAAGAATTGAGACTCCAGAAGTTGGAATCAGAGTCTGCACCATCGGCCGAGACTCTAGTTGTGCAACACGTTTCACCCGAGTGTTTAATTTCACCTGTTCAATCACATCTACCAGCTTGGGTAGTTCAATCGGCCTTGCCAGCTGATTTTTGTTCTGCAAATCCGGGGTTTTGGGGGTGTGGTTCTTGTTGATGCAATGCTTTTTTAGGTCTATTGGAGGAAAAGAAAAAAATGTGAGTTAATTTTTAAAACCTTTTACTGGCCACCTTTCTTCTTACCATGAGACCTTTCGCAAAATAAATAAAATAAATAAAAAAATTAGAAGTCAACATTACGTAGTCAAGGTCACGAATAAAAGAAACAAAACAGGCCTTCTCACCATTTGAACGAACGATGGCAGGATTGGCAGAGATTGGCCTTGAACTGCACATGCGCTGTCCGGATGAACAAAAATCAGCCGATCAATGAAAGCAAAACCAGCTTACGTACCTCTGAAGTGGCTGATAATATGATCCCGTTTTGCAAACGGTTTGGCAGCATGCGGACATCCCTCCCAATGACAGTTCAGCGAAACGCGGCTCCGCTTCTGGCCGACATGCGCTTCGCCAAGATGCACAAATATCAAGTTCGGATCAGCAAAGACGAGGCCGCACCGCTCACCAGTCGTTGTCTTCCATTTGCATTCGGCTTGGAAGCCGGAGGGGTTTGCGTTTTCGCCAATGTTTGCCTTTTGTGTTTGTTGGGTTTTCTGTTCCAGCTTAGGACGCTTTGCGCAAGTTTCTTCTGTTTCCGCGGTTTGCGCGAGTGGTGGTAATGTTAGCGGCGTCACCGATGGCTTTGATGCCATTATTCTTTTCAGATATCCCTTTCTGAAAGAAAAAAAATGGTTGTAAAAACAATTTTTCAGTTGCGGTTTATTTGGTCATGTGACACGGCGACCGGGAAAAATGAAAAACTGTGTGACATAAAGTATATTCTTCGCAAAAAGAATGTTTTCAAAGATTTGGCAGACAAAAAAAAATTGATTTCACCAACTTTATTCGTATTTCCATGCATCACGTGGCTGTATTTCAGCAAAAGCAAAAGGAATAACACTAGAATCAGCATTCGCCCGATAATTGATGTGAATTAATGCAATTGATCCTGTGGTTGAATAATGCGCACTATCTGCTCAAAATTACCCACAAATTTACAAATTCAAATACAAATTAAATCAATGAAAATCATAGATGCTAAGGATTTTTGGGAAATCAAAGAATATGAGTATGCATACTCATAGTGTGTTTATAAACGCTTTCCTCAGTCGTTTGTCCCTCTGTGTTCTTTATCTGAGCTGATGAACAAGGTGAACTTTGCAATCAACAAGATTTCTTCAAAAATTGTGGCATCACTTCATTCTTTCGTTGCTGCATTCTTCATCGCAAATTGAATCGAAATTCTGTCTCATCGTATCTTCCATATTTGCATCACTGTCTTGTTTTTCATTATTACCAGTATTCATAGTTGTCGCTTATTGAAAATAAGATCCCCGTCTTTTTAATGAAAAGAAATGGATTAATAATGCAGTATGTATAAGTTTTAGATTATAATTTATATATAATATATCTTATTTAAAAATGTCTAAAGTTAAAGCATTGATAGTTTAGAGGCAAAATCTCCGCTTCCCAAGCGGAGGTCCCGGGTTCGATTCCCGGTCAATGCAATTAAACTTCCTCACAGGTTCTACTTCATGCAGAAACAAATATAATCTTTTATTAAATCAAAGTTCTCTTTGCATGTCTCAACTCATCACCTCCATTTGTTACAATCAATCGGGAGGCGGGAGTCGAAAGTTGCAACTCCCCGTTAATCTCAGTCAACCGTCTCCGCATCGCTTCTGTTCCCGCCAACTGCACCTCCAGCTTCCGAATTTCATTGTCTACAGTCTGAATTAATTTCTGATGATCCGCACCGCTGCCATTAATCCGCTCAAACACCCACCCATCGCCAGCAACGCCTTCGCCCAGTCGCAGCAGGAACCGGTGGTACTTGAACAGTGTCGGGCGATGCGAAATTGTAATAACAGTCATTTGCGCATCTTTCGCCGAGTTATAGAGAAGTGCTTCAACGTCGCTGCTGACAGCGCTTGTCGCTTCATCGAGTACAACAAATCGTGGTGCATGGTAAAAGAGCCGTGCAAGTTGCATGCGCTGCTTTTCACCGCCAGAAAATACGTCCTTCCATTCCTTGATGCTGTCGAGACCGCCTTCGCGATCGGGGATGTATGCGAGGTGTACAGTGTCGAGGACGGCATATAAATCTACGTCTGTTCTGCCGGAAGCGGTCATATCGGCAAGGGTGTGTGGGTAGATTATTTGCTGGCGAAGGCTGCCGATGGGGAGATAAGGGCGTTGTGGAATGTACATAATTTCGGAAAGAGATTCATTTGGACGGGAAAGTTTTCCTTCGAAATGCGGCCAAAGACCAGCGAGAATGCGAGCAACTGAAGTTTTACCGGAGCCATTTGGTCTTTGCATAATTTTTAATACATAGCGAAACAATATTGACTTTCAATTTGGCACAGTAACTCACCCAGTAATCATCAAATGATCGCCAGGACCAATATTGAAAGACAAGTCACGAACAAGAATACCATCACCGCTTGGGGTAATAACTGGAATATCGTTGAATTCAACCCCATTAAACCCATATGTGATTGTTCCGTCAATTTTTTCAAGTGTATATTGGGTTTCATGCTCTCCCATTTTGATGTAGAGATCATCGTGCAAATCATCCAACACGCGCAAAAGTGTATATACTCGGTAAGTGTAACCAGCAAGTTCTGAAAGTTCTTTGTACGAGTACATGATTCTTCCACCTGCGTCTGCAAGTGAGATCAAGAATCTGAAAGTATAGATAATTTATCGAATTGGCTAAAACTAAATATAAGCAATTACTTTTTGTTTGTGATGAATCCTTGTGTCCTGCTTCCTGTTTTTTTGTCGACGATTATTCCAGGCTTATCTTCGGCCAGAGAACTGCCTTCTGCGAGAATATTGACAACTTTTCGATGAGCAGCGTCCCGTTTTTCTTGTGCATCGATAACGGCTTCACGTCTTTTCGTTTCAGAACCAGCATATTCAGGGAAAAATACTGGAATACTGGAAATAAGAAGCCCAATTGCAGACCATCCGTACTTAATAATCATATCCTCGAACATATTGTATGCAATTCGTATATTATAAACAGCTGAAAGAGAAAAGTAGTAAAACAAACTTTAAAAACGAAAAGCAAATTAAGCATCCACAAACAATTTAAATGCTTGACAAGAGCTAAATAAGCGCGATCAAGAGCCCCACGTTCAATTTCGCCACCATGGTAGAAAGCAATCTCTTCCGCATTCGTAATAACCCGACTGTGGACTTGGCGGAAATCACCTTCCAATTTCGCTTCCACGGCTGCCATTTTTCCAAATGCAGGAGTGAGTGCACGTAAAAGCGTGGCAGTTACTACATAGTTGATTCCGAGCGCGAAAGTTCCTTTTGGCCCGATGCTGCGAGATAATTGGTAATTGAAGATGACGAGATCCAAGATTGGCTTTCCAAGATTGGAATAAAGAGAAGCTAGTGCTTCGCACCATCTGTTCACATCAGTTGTAATCAATCTGTTTTCGATCGTTGCTTGTCAGTATTTTTATGAATGAAACAGAAATGGAGGGAAAAAAACGTAACTGATCAACGCCTTCCAAACGATTATCCAGGTTCTGAGTTTTGTAGTAGGTATTTTTTTCGAGGTAAACTTGATGAATATGAGTCGTCATTCTGGAACGGAGACTCATTGCGAGTTTTGATTGCAAATATTTGATCTGCTTTTGCAGTAAGAAACAGATATGGATAAAAATAAACAAAATAAAACCATTGAGTTCGTGTAGGTCGCGGGAATAGCAATTAAAAACCAATAACCCATACTGCGGATGAAGGCTTTGGAATTCGAAGAAATCTGAGAAAAAAAATAAGTTAAAACCGGTAAATATTAAATTAACGCACAAAATGCAACCGAAACTGACCAGGTCTCTGACAATCATGCCATCAATTCTTGCAACAACAACAGACAAGTATGTTCTGAGAATGAGAAAAGATGTATGTAACGCTACAATAGCAACTGTTTTCGAGCGCCATTGTGGGACTGCAATTTTCAAAATATATCTACATTTCAGCGTGCAAAGAAATAAACGCGTTATTGATAAAATGAGAGGATTTGAATATGTTTTTAGTTTTTTGCACATGGGGGTGAGAAAGTTCACAAACCGGAGTTGGCGCAGAAAACGCGCGTCGACGGCGACTTTTGCGGGACTTTTTTCGACTCTGAGAGGCGAACGTACAACTGCCGAGTACTCGAGTTTTGCGGATCCGTCTTGTTTTTGATTTGTACTGTTGCTGTAGATTGATGAGTTTTGCTTTTCGTGTAAAACTGCATGATTCCTCCGCGCCGCAACAATTGCTGTTACAACCGCCGCCACCACTCCGCCGATAGCCGCCTTACTCAGAGTTGCTGCCGTCGTTGCTGTTGCGGTGGCATGGTTTGTTTGTCCAACCATTGCCTTTTTCACAAATCAAAGAAGTGTCAAAATTTACTTGTCTTTATACAATTTAATTTGACACTCTTCCATGAATAATGACTATAATGTCACCTTATTTAACTTCTACAATTTTATACCCGCAAATTTCCAGAGGGAGTCATAATACTCTGTTTACTGACCGTGCTGGCATTGAGACTGTGCTGGCGTTGACTGCATCTAGGCTACAAACTTTTCCATCATTTTCTCCTCTCTTCTGCCATGCTTTGCACACATATGTTTGATAACATCGGAGACAAACTTGGTTATCATTGATATAATAACCATTGTTAGCAACGCTGTGAAAAGCAATTTGGCTGGAATGTCATTTGGTTTCATAATTATTTTTTTGTTCTTTGTTTTGTTGCCTGGAAATGGTCGACAGGAAGGAAAAAAGCAACATTGCCGAAAAGAAAACAACTAGCAAGAATCCGGACGACATCAACGGACATCCAAACAAATCCAACACAACTGAGCGACGCAGTCGCACCGAATACTTCCGCGAAAAGGGGCAATTTTTTGGCGCGGAAGTTGCCAACGGATCGGCAAAAGCGAAATGCCGTCTGTGTCGCACGCAGACAAAACCGCGCAGCCTGCGCATCCGCCATATCGTCTGCGGTGCGCAATGCTTCAAGACTTCCGGCGGCTTTGATTCGTGTGGGCGTTGGTGTCCGCCGTGTTTTTTTGGCGAGCAGAGACGAAATATTTCGCGATTTATTACTACAAATAGCGAGTTTACGCCAGTTACAAACACGTCGCAGCTGGCCGGCATTTCGCTGCTTCCACAGAAATATCGTGTGGAAATCGACACGTTGATTGCCACTGACGAGTTTTCGGCCCTTCCCGTGCAAGCTGAAGCAAATTCGAAGACTGTGAAGAAAAAGAAAAAGAATGCTGTTCCTGTTACATCAACAAAGCCAAATATCACGTTCGTTAAAGCGGCTAAGAAATTGGAGAACCTTGTTAACGAAAAGCGCGCCCCTGTAAAGAGAGCTCCCGCACTCCCACCCCCAAAAAAGTCCGTTGCTATCATTTCTGATCCAACAGCTCTTAAGAACAAAAAAATTGTGTTTGATGATTAGGCTTCTCTTAAAAATCAAAAAAGTTGATATGGTTTTTTTAGAGAAAATTAAGATGATAAAAAACAATAAAATTAAAATGAAGAATAATATTTATCAAATATGCAACCATGTTCCATCACAGTCTTCAATCGCGTAATAACTCGAAACTGAGACTGAACCTCTGATTAATCCTTTGCAAAGTAAACAATACTCGACTCCGCACTAAAATATATATCTGTTTTTAATGAATATGAAGAAGAAAAAAATTAAGTACTTCAGAACTCACTTGACATGCCACGTGATTACATCCACTCATTACCCCAATTTTAGTTCCGCAAAAAGGGCAATTCTCGATCGTATCATTTTTGCTTCGGAAATTTTTCCTCATCAGGTTGTCAATTGTTTGAACACCTTCATCATCGGCAAGAAGCACATCGTTTTTCTTCCCATTTTTTTGCGCAAAAAACCTGGCAAAGTCACGGCAGACTTGATGCTTTACGTACGTAGAATTTCCAATCAAATCGTCAGCATCAAGAATATGAAACCATTCTAATCTGCAATCGCTGTTTCCACAGATTATCCATACAAATGCCTCGCTTTCAGTTCTAGTTTTCATTGCTGGCATCGACTCCAATAAATTCGACGCGTCAAAATTAATATCGAACGTACATATTGGAATCTCTTCTTCGTGTTCCTCTTCAATCGTTGCGTCAGGAATATGGCGTTCATGTTTTGTTTTGTTCAAAATATGCGAGTGATTGAGTACAGGTTGTTCTCTGCTTTGACGATTGTGAAAAAATGAGCGGCTGAGACGACGAGGCTTGGCTAAAATTCCCGACTGGCGCACCGCTGGAACACCAGCGCCAGCATTAGCAGTACTGGCGCCACCAACAAAAATTGTTTGGAAAAAACTCGTTACCGATGATATTAGTATTTTAGTGGGCACATTCAAATATTCAGTGAATTTTTCGCGCATTTGCAATGCCTGTTGATCACGAATTTGCTGCGTCAAGTGCTCCGGTATCGTATTCTTTAAAAGAAAAAGAA